TTAGAGAGAGAGAGAGAGAGAGAGAGAGAGAGAGAGAGAGAGAGAGAGAGATATGTAATGATGATTGTGACAAATTTGGCTGCCTCTTCGGAACACGAAACGATTTGGGAAAACACTTACATTCCTATTTTTGTGTAATTACAAAGTCAGTCACACGCATATTCGGATATAAAAAAAAGTACTGTACTCGAAAATTCTGTATATAGTCACGTGTGAAATGTATAGTAGTAAACTATTTTAGAGTCATGTGTGTGTATGTATGGTTGATTACTTTTTTGGAATAAGTTGGAATGGATTTGGATGCTTTATTATAGATATTTTTTCTATAGTTTCTTTTATTAAAATGAACAGGTATGTATATTTTTGAATAGTAAAAAATAATTGTTGATTTTTGTTTCAATTTAATTTAATATGGTAAATTGGTAAGTTATATAAAGAGATGATATATTGTTTTTTTTTTTTATAACTCGGAGTAAATCTCTAGACCTGTGGAAGGATCCGAGACTAATCTCTGGAAAGAGGTTTTCCTAAGGGTAGGATGCTTCCCTCGTTTTTCAAATGGGCCTTAAGCAAGAGACTCATACCCATGTAACCAAAGGGATAGCAATTATGCATCTGGAGAGAATCGATCTCTAACCTACACCAACATGGCGACTCTTCCACCAGACTAGAACCACTAGCCCACGACCTCTGGTTAAGAGATGATATATTGTAAGCTTTTTTTTTTCAATAATTAAGAAAAAATATATAAACAAATCGATATTTAAAAATATTATCAAAAACAAAGCAAATTAAGAGTAATAGTTGGTAATCTCGTACCTTTGTGGTATGGATATATTATTTTAACATTTATTATTCACAAAATGTGGTATTTAAAACATGATCAAAAACAATATTTTTGATTTGTATATTGAGATTGGTAATTCTCTATGTTACTATTTTAATAATTATCAATTATAAAGCTGATTACAAAATTTGTGAAAATTGTTCTCATTTTTCTTACCATTATTTTATACTTTTTTAGCGATTTTATATCATTTTATTGTATTTTTATCTATTAACATAATTTTTAACTATTTTTACTACAACATTAAAAAAAAAAAAGACTGAAAACAAAGACTTTTTCAAGCTATCTAATATCATCAGTTTGTGTGTTAACAAAGATTTAAGATTTGATTACGTGTTAGTAGTTATGCCAAATTGTCAAGCAAAAATAAGAGATTCCAAATCTCCTCTTGTGTCAAATCAAATCTCTTAAGTCTATCTACCGTTCCCGTTCGGGCAAATGTAAAATGATTCTCATTCAGTAAGATGTGATGTCTTTGTTTATAAGAAAAATTAAAAGATGTGATGTCTTTAAAGAAAGAAACTAAATTTTTTTTTCACAATATTCCAAAAATGGTCCTTTCCTATGACTCGTATCCTATGCCGTTTCTCAGTAAAAAAATCTAAACTCACATGTTCGAATAAAAACATGAAGATCCCTATCTTCACTCGAACAGATTTTTTTTTATTTTTTTAATGATATGTGGAGTCACATTTAACATTAGAAGGATTTAGTTTCTCGGTAATTTTCGTAGGAAAATCACTAGTATCTTGTGTTGGTTCGGCTATATTTCGACTAGCAAAAGAAAAACAAAACGATATGATTTACTTTAAAGTTCGAAGGATTATAACGGTTAGAGTAAACAAATTTGTCTATGAATTAAACCGTTATATATTTATCATTCAAAAAATATGTTTATATTGGTGTGAACTAAATAAAGACAAAATTAAACCGTTGTAGACCAACCATAAACCGTTTTTACATACAAATAAATTTGATTCGCAACGGTTTAATGTCCATCATAAAAATAAAATGGACTAAACTACTGATATATTTATCTATCTTGACCATAGTAATCATTCACACCTTTAATATCAGATAATTTACTTAACGATTTGTTGTATAAAATATAATCGAATCGTGTAACGTTTATAATAGTTTTAATTTTATTTTTACGATTTGTCAAACTTATTTGAAAATTTTATCTTACAAATATCCGAAATAATTTGACGCTATTTCTTTTTTAAAGATCATATTCTAAACCGGACTAATAAAAGAAAATCCGATATATAGCATAATCCATAAAAAGTTAAAAACATATAAACCTTAAATGACTAAATGAGGGCAATAACACAAAAGTACTATAGTAAGAAGATTCCATCCCAAACTAAAACCACACTTAGAAAAAGTAATATAGTAGTAGGGCGTGAAGCATGTGGACAGAACAACACATCTGAGGAGCCAAAGATCGTAATGACGTTAACTATACACTCAAGCAAATTGGGACCAAGTAGAAAAAGATAAGGTATAGTTTCTATCAAATTAAATACGATGAGAGTTAATGGCCATGAGACCATTTCTTCTGACGACGACCAGAGAGAGAGACCCGAGTGTTACTAAATAAATACATTTGACGAGAGGAATCATATAGTATACAATTTGCGTAGGGTTACATATTATGGGTAAGTCAGCAGGAGGATGATGATGACCTACCTTGTCGGAGAATCCTTAATATAAACAATTGTATTTTTTTAGTGGCACAAAATGAGACAACGTGAGACGATTGGATTGGGAGATAATAAAGAAAAAAAAAAACATAATGGGTCCAATCCCTTAAAATCAAAATTTTATTTTTTATTTTGTGATAACCGAATCAAAAGATTTTATATATAAAAATATCTTGTATTAAAGTATATAGGATTTTGTTGGTGTAAATATAATACTAAGAAACACCCATCTCTTACTTTGTTTACTATTCAATATTCATTCTCTCATATGTGTTTTGTCAGAGAACACACAAAAGCACATTTTTAAGTGTTATTTTAATTAGGTGATTATCTTAATTGTTTTGGCAGGAACCATGTTAATTAGTCAACTAATTTTTTCTTTTTAAAGGCAAGTTGAGTGATTTTGATGTGAAAGTTTTAAAACCATAAGTCAAAAATTCATATTTGACATTTTTTAAAACCATAAGTTAAAAATTCATAAACCAATAATTAAAAACCTTCCTAAAGCATTTTTTACAACCATCTTTACTAAGTAAACCAGAAGAGGATTCAAGGGAGGAGATCTTAGACCAGACTGATGATGGTTCTCAGTCACAGTCCAAAGGCAGACACCAAGAGAGCTCACTTATTCTGACAAATGGTGTTTAAATCCTGAATGTCCCGTTGTAACCCGGGATCCAGTTTGTTGTCCCAACAAGTTTCTCGTTTTGGAGTCTGTTTCGAGTTTGGATCTCGTTACTCATCAACCCATCCCAGTGACCATTAGGCAACGCGAGGTTTCTAGACAGTATGTTATTGCCTTGAGATTGATCTATAAGCCTTGATGCAATTCCCAGAGAATCAGTGAATCTACAGTTTTGATGTGTAGATAATGGAGTCTGCATTACCGCTTGTTGGTGTTGTTGGAGCTTTGCCGCGTTTCCAAACATGTTTGTGTTTCCTTGAAAGTTTGATCTGAAATCTAGGCTTGCATTCTCAAAGCCTTGACCCACGGCCAAAATAGCAGGATCCATAAATTGAACATCCCTGACATTTTCAACTGGGAGTGACTGCTGATATGGATTACCGAATGATGTTGTATCAGAAAACCGATGATTTCCTACAAAAACAAGACCAAAATTTCAGTTAATCTATACACATAGGTAGCAGCAACATATGGGATATACATCATAAGAACCCAAACAGCTTTAGAGAAATATAAACTACCTGAAACACCATCAAAAATCTGATGTTCTCTCCCATTTGAGGAGAAGCCTGGAGGAGGAGGTCGACTTGGAACTGAAAATCCAGGTGGTGCTGAAACCGGACATCTTGGAGCAGCTACAAGACAAACAACGGATTGATTAAGATTACACAATGCATCAATTCCAATAATATGTAGGCACTATGACGCACATGCTTGTAAGATATTCGTAAGGCAATATTCCGAAAGCCAATAACCAAGAAACACATAACTCAAAACAGTGAGACATGCCACAAAGAGCCATATATTCATTTTCAGCACTTAACATACTGATACGCTTGAACTCGCACTAACATATTATTGATTGGGACTAGACATTGTTTGATATCCAAATTCAAGACCATCAACCAGAAAGAACCAGTTTGTTGCAGCATAAGTAAACACGAGATAATAATATAGAATCACTACATAGAAGGCTAAAAGCTCGAGGTTATAAGGATGAGAAATCAACACTCACAAGTAGGGTTATAGGATGAGGGCAGAGTAGACCTTTGTGTGACATAATCTACTCCCTTGAGATAGCCGGATGAATAACCGGATGAAAGACCATTATACGTCCCAAACATACCCATATTACCACTCTGTCGTTCTGAAGAGTTCTGGTATAAGTCACTGCCAGGTGCTATCTGGTTGAAGGTGTTATAAGAAGCAAAAGCTTGATCCTTTGATTCATCTTGCCTCGCAAAAGAAAACCGGGATTGACTATCCTCCATTTTACTGGAATTTGCTAGCTTACGAGATCTGGCCTCTTCATCACTTTCCCCATATAGATTTGCAAAGTTCTGAGGTGAAGTTAAGTATTCATCAAGATCTAAAGACATTATATTTGCAATTATCCTTTCATCCATTTCACTCCTAGAATTTTCTTCTGAGTCAGCAAAACACTTTCCAATTGGCTGTGTGTCCCTTGCTTTGTCAGGAAACATAATAGAATGGTCAAGACTGCCGTTTAAATGACTGGGCTCACTAAGTGGCATCTCGGTATATCCATGTGAGATGGGTGCTACATTACTTCCTCTGCTTTCAGAAGATCCACCCACAGTCCTGGTTTCATCATGCTCAGCCTTATACTGGGATGAACAAGGCTGCATAGAATTTAACGTACGTAGTAAACCATTGGGCTGGCAGCTAAGAACTTCTGGATCCTTGAGTCTTTGTCTATTGAACAATGATATATCATCCTCAGCTTCTGGATAACGATCTGTTACCAACGGAGACGTCAAAGCAGTATATGCATTAGCTTCGGCTCTTAAGACAACAACCTCATTTGCATCAGCTCTACCAGACTTCCGCAGTGCCTGAACTTCTCTAGGCTCATTGACACTACGCTGTATATGGTCTTGGGACATTTCTGTATGTGATGACTTTACGGAAGCATGATTAAAATGTGAACTGTCAGATCTTGTTCTTCCATGATAGCCATCCACAACACTATCTGCATCCACTGACACAGCATCGCTGCATACACTCTCTATTTTTCTGTTAATCATTTTGTTTCCATTAGACAGCTTGGATTTACAAGGCTGAGAAGTATGTTCTGGCAAATCCGTGCAATCTGATGGCTCACTAATAGCTCTACTATTATCCACACTGGCAGAGATTACTTCCCTACTATTAGTGACCTGGGTCCTATTAGACAAGGAAAGCTCAGGAAAATCAGTTTGACCATCCAATAGGTTTTGAGGTTTCAAAGCATTTCCATCTGCACTACGGTTATCCTTTAATGCTGCCTTCTTTAATTCATGACTGTGAGATGAAGACATCTGTGTGGGATTTGTTCCAACTGCAGATGACACTGTTGCAGATTTCTCTCTTAAGGGTTCCCTAGGACATGGTGAACTCGGTACCGATGATTGACTAGAAGAATGCATTCCCCTGAAAATCGTTATGAATTTCTCAGACAAAGCAGGTACGCGATTGAAAATTTAGAAAAACTATCATCAGAATTCAGTGTACCACAATGCTCCGGCAGGAAGGGTAACAGACTGACTGTTGCTGTCATTTGGAGGAGAACTTTTAGCGACAGTATGTGCATTCTGCATAGGAAAAAGGGCGGAAAAAAAGAAACCAAAAGCAGAATATATCATACATAAACAACACATCTAGTCCTTCTCTTAAAGTGTAACAGCATATGAATATACTGACAACAGAAACAATTACAAGAGGCTCCACGAAAAGCAGGCAACTTACATTCAAAACAACTTTTGGAATTTTTCTTGTGCTAGATTCATTATCAACAAAATCATCAACTGGTGGAGGTAACATGCTCCCAGAGCGCCGTATATAATTATCCCTCCAACCAGTAATTTCTTGAACCATTCTCCTATTGAAACAGCAAGAGAATCAGATAACCACACAACGAAGCACAACATATAGAGTAGAAGAAAGAACTGATGCAATATCAAATCTCTTACAAGCCTCAAGAACAGATGAAAGTTAAAACAAAACCAGCTAATGAACAAGTTCAAATCTGCTACAAACATGTATTAAGGTCAATTAAATAATACTTCACCAACAGAGCCTACTACCAGCATTACAGAAAGAAATAAACACAATCCATTTCACCTAACTGAAAAGACAAAGCGTAATCAGGATCATTCACGTTAATTTACCTCATGTGCACTGATATGGTCTCATCTTTTGTGAAACTATCCTCTGGGGAACCAAACTCATGCAAATAAAGGCAATCAGAATTGGTGCAAGGCTGCAGAAACAGAAAGGCATCCATGAAACACAATTGAATTTGTGTTTTAAGTATTTGAAGGGAACTAGTGAGCGAATGCAAGACAATATCTTATTACCATGTTTCTCAACCATGCATGACAATACTTCATGGTCCCAAAACATGCCCTAATGAAATGCAAAAAAATATTAGAAATTGAAGCACAAAGTACACAACCAACATAACTAAATTTTTTTAAAAAGGAAACACCACATACTTCAAATTTCTACCATCCAAAATAAATCCATGTACTGATCGGATACATCGAATTGCTTCATCCTCTTTGGAGTAAGTAATATATCTGGGAAATTCAGTTTTGGAGAGAAAAAGAAATGAAAATGTTAGTTCAATGAAGTTTGTTAAAAGAAACATGTCTAACAGACCACACAAAAAAAAGCAGGTTCTGCTTATCTATATGAAATCACAAATTTTAGTTCGTGCTAGATACCATTATTAGAATATGAAAGAAAATACGGATACATACACACTGCAAGTATTGTTTGGAAATTGTTGGACAGTCCCAGCTGCAGTCCGAGACATTGCTACTTTAACGACTTTTCCATATTGACCAAAGTACTCTCTTCGCTGAAAAAGCTGCATACACAAAAAACCCCAGATTAATCAGATGAAAAGGTGTTTTCTTTACAACGTAAATGTAAGTGCCAAGGAGATAAGTTAGGCTGTTTAAGTTACATCTTCATCTGCCAGATCAAAAGGCAAGCTCATAACGTAAACCAAATTTCTCTGGATAACTCTCACACCAGTCAGATCTTTCCTTCCCTCTGAAGGTTTAGCCTTCACCTTCTGTGACTTTTTCCGGTCATTGTTAATTTCAGCAACCAACCTGGTGCATTATCAAAAAAGAAGGACAAGTTTTACAGGTTTCACAGAAACAAAAAAAAAGGATTGTTTTTCCACTTCAGAACTACCTTTCACAGCTGACTGTCATCCCAACAATCTTTTCTTTATCATAAGGGGTACGACATGCAGGACAGCGACCCTCTGTCTTATCTTTCTCAGCCATCTCTATAATTTGATGCCAACACCAAACACATATCTGCACAAAGTACATGAATTTCACATTAAAAAAAAAGGGTGATAGATTATATATCACCACAGTGGCACAATGAATGAATCAAACATAAACAAACAGTTGAACAAGATAAGAATAGGTAATGTCATTCTTAACTCTTAAACATCGACTATTAGAAAGGATACATTCTCAAGATACCAATGTAACTCAACCAAGATGAACCATTTCATTTAAAAAAGAACTAAAAGACTACAAATCATGGTCCTTCCCAACAAAACACAGTCCCACAAAGGCATGTCTAAATATATACAGCATACAGAGTTACTCAGACGCAAACTATACTGGAACTGCCAAGCGTAATAGTTGCAAGAACAAATTAAAACCCTCAAAGAAACATATCAACGCCAATTGTTTCAGACTATATAAACAAGAACCCAAAAACACATTCTGCTCAAACAGTACCAACAACAAAACAAGAGAACCAAGTTTGAAAGTAAGAGATTGTATAAAATAATCCAACCTGATAGCCACATTTGCAAGGTTTAAGATGTTGATCAGTCAAGTCCATCTCCTCAGCACAGAGAGGACAAGTCTTTTCTCCTTTCTCATTCATCGTTACCTAATTTATTTTAATAAACAATTATAAAAACCTTAGCATCAGAACACAAAAATCCACAATTTTTATTCCAATTAAAAAAAACGAAAAACACAGCGACTAAGACACTAAAAGTCCATAAGCAACAGTCTGAAAAAACAAAATCCAACAATTTTATTCTCAACTCTCACAAAAAAAAACTTCAAAATTCTGAAAAGATTATTAACAATGCAAAACCTTAATCACTCCAAATTCGAACAAAAAGGTTAAGAGAACTTGTCCGCAGTCAAAATCTAGAGGATTTGGTGGAGAAATCGTTGGCCGTACCTTCGGAATCAACGAAACAAAAACCCTAATCCGTACGTTAGGGTTTGAGGAAACGCGTTTTGGGGAATTCGGCGGAGAGAGAGAGAGAGATTGAGAGAAGGGAAGAGTAACACAAAAGGTGGTGTTTTGGGAAGGAGAAGAAGAAGAAGAAGAAGAGATTGTGAGAGAATCGAAGATTTTGAGGAAGAGATGGAAAAAAAAAAAAAAACTGGTTTAAACTCTGTGGCTAAACCTTTGTTCGCCAATGGTTGGTGTTTTTTCAAAGTTGTCAAATTCAATTTATTTTTTTCCCAATTAATGATAACTCTCTCTATATAAATTATTATTATTATACCTAATTTATCTGTTCAAGTCTTTTTTTTTTTTTTTCTTCCATTTTTATGATTTGACGGCAAGTTATTTTTTCATGTGAAAAGGTGCATTTAACATTAACACACATTGTGACCCAATTCTAGGTTTTCTAATTCTTTTTATTTTTTTCTATAATTGTTTTAGATATTTTTTTTATAATTTTGACTAGTTTAGATAATTTGGTTAATTAATTATGGTTATATATCAATGTCGTGGTTAAAAGTTAAAAACAATTAGTACGGTTTAGTAATTGTTAGTGGTTTATAGTTAAAAAACACAAACACTAATAAGTCCGGTTAAACTCAAAACACTTTTTTGTTGTAGAGTTGTGTCTCCTCCACGACTTGGACCTGTTAATGAACATGGTGTGAGTTTGTTGTTAGTTGTGTTACTGCGATATATTCATATCGTTAAAACTATTTATTATCTAAAATAATCACTTAAATTTAGATTTCGAGGGTTATTAATTCGACATGATCTTATTTAACATGTAGTTATCCATTTGGATCCGCTATAAATCTTATTTCATAGTAGTTCCATTATCTAATGTTCTGATTTGCTAAATTGTTCATACAAACGAAAACTTGACACCAAGTTTCAATAATTTAATCATTTGACTTATTCGTATAGCAGCAAACAACACTCAGTGTCATCATAAGTCTTCTTCGCGCCAAACTTATCTTTCAAGACCATTACAACTAAACATATGATTCCAATTTTTTTTTTATTTTTTTTTTTAAATCAACCATTGTTACTACTCTGAAATGAATAGAAGCACATTCATGGCAGGCTGAGAGAAATTACAATCCACACTTCAAAATTTATTTAAGGGTAAATGACTACATATGGTTCCATAATTTCATTTATATATCTCAAACCTCCAAAAATCCATATGACAGGGATGTATGTATATTAAAAAGAAGGAAAAAAAAAAAAAACTGAAAAAAAACTCGAAAAGTGATCTAACTTGTTCACTTCTGATATTAACTACTACGGCATATAACAAATACCAATTTTGAAAGATTCGGTTAAAAGGATTCAAAAAAGACGAAGCAGAGGAGTTACCGTATAATGAGTTTTGGTGGTGGTTTGGGAAAAAGGCCAATTTTCTTCTATATATATATTTTTTTGGGGAAGATTTGGGAAAGTGGGATGTGCAAATGGCTGAGGATTTACGGGTTTATTCATCGTCATCTGAGATTAAAGCGAAAGAGAATGGCTTGAACTTGTAACCATCCCCATGGAAGAACTTCCCCATGAATTCAACCCAGTGAAGACGCAGAGCATGGAGGAATGCACTTAGTGTTTCCATCATCAGAAGTATAAACGCTGTTGCAAATGCAAACACCGCTAGTCCGATTAACCGGATCAAAATGTTGTCATACCTGTTTGCAAGAGAGAAATGTATCAAAATAAAAGTGAGATATTCAAGTTTAAACATGCAACTTAAACTACTGCTCACCCCCAGGCAAGAAGAAGAACTTTCTCATAGAAGACTGTAGACAATTCCGAATGAGCCAAACTGTAAGGCCAAGTTAAAATTCATAAGAACATATTATAAACAGGTAGGAAAGATTTATTGAACTCATTTAACAAGCGGAAAAGTTAGTCATTTACCTAAGAGCCCAAAGACGAAGGTAAGATGCTGTGTTAGAAACTGAACCTAGAATAAATTCTATGGAGTGAATCAATTGATGTACAAAAATTTCGCTGAAGTTAAACTCTTCTTCGTGATGGCCTCCTCTAGCGGAGTCTGGTTCTACTTCAAGATCCACCTCAGAAGAAACAAGAACCCCGTAAGTGCGACCTTGAAACCTCTGAAAAAAAAACATTTCATCCCTTTGATAAGCCCAGAGCCCAAATTGATTAGTAAAAAAAAAAACAGATGCAGTGATAGCATTACCTCCATGTGAATTTTCCTGAGGGCAAAGGGTTTAGGAAAAAGCATCCATGGGACCGCGATGAATGCCGAAAGCAATAACAGAAGCTGCGGAATATATTATATCTTGTGAGAGTGTCAAGATGAGTAAGGATGGAACAAAGAACCAATGTAACCCTAGATATTTAAAAATTTTGGAGGAAACTATGCCTGAAGTGGACGCTGGCCCCAAAACAACTCATTTTCTCCAAGTTCTTCAGTGGGACTCAGAAACATGTAGATCATTACATGGTACAAGTCTGCTTGAGATCCCGTGCACCACTTGATGATGATGAGCAGTGAAAGGTAACCGAATAGACTGTTAAGGAATATCATCTGAGGTATAAACTGATACCTGATGACATATGACAAAGAAATAGCCGTCCCGGATGGTTTTAATACAGGAAAGAATTCAGGAGGTTCGGAAGATTAAGTAAAAAAGGAAGACAAACCTTATGTCCAATGAAGAGCCAAAAAAGCGGGCATTAAAGAAACTTAAAAGCAATCCCAAATTCATCTGTGCAATTCCCAGCAGAATAGACATCTTCATCTTAAGAGAGTTTAGGTAAGGCAGTTCGGAGCGACTTCCATACCAACTAGGATCTACGCCAAAAGGGTATGGATCACGGTATTTGACTAAACCAACTGTGTAGGCATCGCTGGATAAGAGGTAATATGCATGTTAGCAACAAATAGAATAATAATAGTATAGAAAAGACGTGACTCCTTACTAAAGACATCAGAGATTTAAACATAATACATACCTACAAGTAGTATCTCTGCATTTGTAAGCTGAGCCACCAAAGATGTGGAAAGGTACAGAGAAGAATTCATTGTAAATAAGCCCACAATATATTGAAAATAGTGACATCAATAAGATTACATAGCGGCCTCCGAAAAGCATCTTCATAAAGCTTCCAAGTTTCTGGGAAAGATAGACACACAACATCATACCACGTAGATTGAAAATTTTCACAAAGGCGAATGACACTCACACGACGTCAATTCTTTTTTCCCATCCTAAGTGTATAATGATAACCTCAGTGCAATTTTCCATATATTCTATAGCAACTCTGAACAATTGAAATTCACCATCTTTCATTTGAAAAACAAAAATCCTCCAAGGGCACAGAAAATTGCATGACAAGCTGAAAGCACAAAAATGCAACATAACTATTGCTGCAGTTCACTTCAAAACCAAACGTACAAAATATATATCAGTTACTAAACAAAACAAAACAAAACTCTATGTTAAGATGTTTTATTAAATTTTAGGAGTAAACATCTCATGCTCAAAGCCAATATCGTCACTGATTGGGTGTCAACTAATACAACAAGAATTAGGCAACAACCATACCTGCGTACTCAGCTTTTTTTCACGAGCAAGAAGAAACAACGCTCCTAGCAGCAAGCATAGACCATGACCCCAATCTCCAAACATAACAGCAAACAAAAAGGGATATGTGACAACTGAATAAACTGCAGGGTTTGCCTCTTGATATCTTGCAATACTGTCAAGTAAGCATCATTAAGTCAAATATACATGGAATGGTGATCAGCATAAATTAACTGGCATATGCAATCAACAAATATTTTGATTACGAAGATACAGAATGACGAAAGTTCAGCTTTGTTAGAAAGCAGACAGTTAATATAAAATCATGTATGTATCATGAGGGACCAAACACTTGCATCTAAATGATGAGGTTTTTCTATTCTCATGGAACATTACAATAGTACCAGGAAATGGTCAAAAATGGAACTAACCCGTAAGCATCAATAATCTCCTGGAAGGCATTTGTAAGTTTGTTCGTTCTGAAATAGGTGGGAGGTGGTTCTACTGCTTGCATTACATGAAATATAACGCCCACCTGTGAATTACTGTCAAAAGTGGCTCGCTGCAGGACCTCATGAATCTGCGCATAAGTTGTTGATGAATGCACTTGCAAGGAAATGATAGTCAGTTATTAAAAGGAATAAAAATATTGTAGCATACCTGGGTCTTAGCAAATGTGGGGCACCAACCTTCACCAACAAGGCATTTCTTGGTTACATCAAAATTTAGCATATTCAGCGTATCATAAACAGCTTTTTCTCTCCGAACCTAGAAGTACAAGGGCAGCTAAAATCATGGATGTACCATAGTGTATGGACCATACACTCCCATATATTCATTAGATTTATAATCCAGAACAGAAAAAAAAAACAATTGTCGATGTTAATTTTACCGTGGTCATCCAATTAGTCAAGCTATAGCCAACAGAATTAAGGGCATTATTCCGATGGCGAGTTCCAGCGTCTAGTGTGGCTTCCAGATCAGAGAGTCGGGATAAAACCTATATGCCAGATACATTGATATTAGAGGACCAACATAGTGTGATGCAATACCTAACAGTCGCTGGCAATACTTATCAGGATAAGATATTGGTATTCTAGAAATAACATAGGCTGACACAGCAATTCACAGTTGCATACGATTGGATACATAAGTCAGCAGCAAATCATTTGAACAAGATGAGATCAACTCACAAGATCGTTCTACAAAAAAATGCCTATATATATATATACTGAAGCAACTTCTCTGAATGTAGAACAAGTTTATCCAACTTACTTCTCTCGTAAGCTGCCTCTGCTTTGTTGTATCCTCAGGGACAGGATAGCAATTTGCACCAAATGCTTCACATATTTTCAATATTTTCGTCCTTGCTTGCTCCCCAGAAAAGAATACTACAAATACAATTTTCTCCACCTACGGACACACAAGAAACCAGTTAGTAAATAAGCATCTCACCGAAACAGCATATGACTATCATGGATATCAAAAGTTACACTGTTTAAAAAGTTTAGAGATCAATATCACCATTTCTGATGTTGAAGGATCCATGATCTCCTCATCAGAGGGTGTTTGGTTGAAAAGCATATTTCCTCTTGTTGCACGAAATAACATTCTTTCAAA